AGAGAGAGAGAGAGAGAGAGAGAGAGAGAGAGAGAGAGAGAGAGAGAGAGAGAGAGAGAGAGAGAGAGAGAGAGAGAGTTACCTGGTGATGATGCCAGGCAAAGGAGACAGCGTTTTGCTTCTGAAGGCCAGCATTGCTTTGCCGAGTGTGTTATTCTTCATTGTGCCTGTGTCATATTGAGTGGGGAGAAACTTTGCATATCGGCGAGGTGTTGGCAAGAGAGACATTGCCTTCATCTCCAATCGAGGGCTAGGACTGTTGATTGCTGAGTTGGTGATAGGAGGGAGAAGAGCCTGAAGTGAAGTAGAAAGGGGTGGCCGCGAAGAGACTCAACTGTTATTCTTTGAGCATTGTCAGTTTAGCTCATGATATTGATGATGTGAGCTTTGCGGTTTGGGTTCATTACAACACCATTTTATTTTTCTGTTAAATCTGTTTTGTTCCTTTTTTGTTTTTCCAAATTGTTATTTTTTTATTACAAACGCTGGAAAGCGGGTTCAGCATTTGTCATCTTCAGTTCTACTAGGAATTTTGAGGTGACCTTACTCACTGAATAAACAGGATTTGGAATTTTGAACTCTTGCTCTTTTTCTTTTTTTTTCCTCTTTTTTTTTAATTTTAAAGACTCGAGCAGCGGTATGGACTCTTGATCTGTTTAGGAGAAAAGTTGTTGCTCGTTTTACTTTGTATTGTCAAGCTGGGGGATAGGAACTGGAGACGTGACCCCCAGAAGAGAAGAGGGGTCTCCTGAACAACAGAGCGTTTTTTTTTCCCTTCTTCTTTTTTCTTTTTTTCTTTTTTGGTTAAGAGGTTGGGGGTGGTGACATATGTGGCCTACCGATTTCCATCCGGTGAGGAGGTGGCTGTAGCTGACAAATCGCATCTTGGATAGTTTTTCCTGTGATGCCAACATCTAATGACATTGCAAGCAAAGCTGCAGTGCCTGCATTGACCGCATTATGTGCTCCTACAGCTCTAAGTGATGTCAAGTACAATCTAGCCTCCTCGCCTGTGGTGGGGACCACCACAACTGCACGCCGACTCTGGGAATCAAGCTGCCATTCGACCACCAAGATCAGATGCGGATTCCAGTCTCAGATTTCACCCTCCCTTTCTCTCAAATCCATTGTTCTGAATACAAACTGTCAGGTAACTGCCTGGTGGCTAAACGTACACACACACACACACACACACACACACACACACACACACACACACACACACACACGCACACATGTAACCCCTTTGATAAACAGACCAAAAGTCCAAATCCTATCTCAGAGTAAGGTTATGGGCTACCCCCTCAAAACCAGAAACAAAAACGACTTGCTGGTCGAATAGGAACCGGACTGCTGCTCCCCAGAATGTACAAGGAGCAGGGACCCAAAGGTTCCGTTTCTCCAAAAAAAAAAAGAAAAAAAAAAAGAGAATACAAACGTCTTGTTGAGAGCACATAAACGAAATTCAGAAGGAAGGAAGGCACCCATTTTCATGGTTGTCCTCATAGTTTGTTGTAACCTTGATCGCTATCCCCACCCTCATCATCAGTGCCAGTGCCATTGTCGTTGTCATTGCTCTCCTACTCCACCACATTAAAACGCCATGCAAACAAAACACGGTATTGCTTATAGTAAATCAACTTTAAAGTAACAGTATAATATAATTACCATAAAAGATTCTTTTGAAGATACAAAATCTTGGTCCTCTTCTGGTTCAGTGGGATTTCAAGGATCTCGTTGTTCAACCAATTATGCCGCTCAAGCTAATGCTGAGAATGTAGCGTGTGCCGCTAGTCCATTAGGAATTAAGTCAGCTGAAGCGAGAATCGAGGGTTTCGGTTATGGAAAACCTTTGGGATACGTGGTCAATCATCATCATCATCATCATGACCACCTCCACAAACACCATCAGCACAGCCATCACCATGATTATGGCCATCACCCTATCAATCATCATCATCATCATCATGAGATAGCCAGTTTCAAGTTTAAACAGTGTAATCACGACATGAGGCTCGACCCTTGCGAGAGCCAGCAAAGGCCTCTAGTGACTCTCTGGAGGATCGCCGCAGAGTTGGAATGCAAACCTGAACCCCTGGGAGTCCTCCTAGCCAGGCTCGCGTTCCTGAACCGCCAGCATTTGATGCTAACTTCCGCAACACTGGATCCGCTGCCATCCTCACCATTCATCATAGAAACATTTTCCCCAAGCAAGAAACAATAAGCTAAATGATAGCAAACAGACTGGGTTACCAAGCCACAAGTCCACTTCTAAACCAGCAAAGCACATTACCAAAGTACATGACTGCGGACAAAAAAAAACATCCAAAATATCAGAGCACATCAACGAAGACACTACTACGGTCCCCTTTTTCACTCCTACAGGTTGCAACCATGCACACATGCACACATGCATGGCACACACATACACACATGCATGGCACACACGTACACACATGCAACCACACACACATACACATACACACATGCAACCACACACACATACACACATGCATNAACCACACACACATACACACATGCATGGCACACACGTACACACATGCAACCACACACACATACACATACACACATGCATGGCACACACGTACACATGCATGACACACATGTACACACATGCTGTTATGAACTTGGTTGTTTGAGGAAGAGACAGAGTCCACCTGCACACACATCAGAGATAAGCAGCGAAATAGCAACCATGCACAGATGGGAAGAATACACACACAGTGTTCTCTCTCTCTGATGAACTCCCAACAACCAATCACAATTGACACTGCAAAGATCACAATCGGCAAGTAACCCAGATGATGAGCCAACTCAACACAATTAACCCCAATAATCGTTACAGAGTTTAACCCAGTGTCTCGCCACTCAATTACCACCCACTCCACTCACTACCACACGCTCATAGTCTAGCGCTGCACTGAAACAGCCTCCCAGAGGCCAGCGCCATACACCCAGATGCAGATCATGAGTAGCGAAGTAGTCTCCAGTGTCGATGAGTCCCTCTGACGATGAAGAGGACAGCTATGGCTGTCCGACTGCTACCGCAGCAGCAGAACCCACATATCCTCAGTGAAGACCTCCGATATAGCCGGCCAACGCAGATATCCCCCAGGGGGTAGATGCGTAGAGAGCAGTCCCAGCTATGGCTGTCTCAGATGGCGGCTATGGCTGCTCCACTCACAGCTGATGTCTCCGGTGCCACTGCAGACATTCAGCGCTGCTAAACTTAGTTGGCCACCAACACTTCACGCGAAAAATGAAAGCCAAAAGTCCCCCTGATTGTTTCCCTCCCAGGCCTTATAGATTCCAACTCTAGTCTAGACCTAACTGGACTGACTGAACCTACCGGTGTCGGGACTGGTGGGTCCCGAATAACTTCCCATCACTCGAGAGATTGAATACGGACAATTTGTGCACAACAGAGAGATCTGGAGTGAGGAAGCAGGAGAGAGAAAAGACAAAGGATTAGGCCGCAGAAGGGAGTGATGCCCTGAGGAGAGAACCACAGGAGGAAAGAACTAGCGACGGCAAGCAAGCAAGCGTAAGAACAGGGGCACATAGAACATAGCAGGAGGCCGGGAGGGCCATCGGAATGCAATAAGACTAAGGCCAAAGGGCCCTTCGAACTAACAATTGCAGCGCAACAGTAATAAAGGAATGAGGAAGTCAAGGGAGGGGCGGCCAGAAGCCGCGGGAAGCCAGGAAATGAGGGGCCAACGTGGGGGGCCACCTACGGGAGCCTCGGGGAGGAGGCCCACGACCAAAGAGATCAGCACGCACAAGGCGCGAGGGAAGACTAAGGAGAGGGGTCGCTATGGGGCGACAAGATGCCCAAGGGGCATGGGACACCTCGGGGAAAGGCACCCGGGGCCACGTGGGACTAAGTAAAAAGAATGGCGTCCGGGGCGAAAAGTGTCAGGGACCGCCGACGGGACTAAGTGTCAGGGATCACCGGCGGGACTAAATGTCGGGGACCACCAACGGGACTAAGTGTCGGGGACCACCAACGGGACAAGTGGCGGGGACATGTGAGAGTCCCAAGAAGAAATGGCGGCACCGCATGAGGGAAAAATAATAAATGCAAGGTGCACCGTCAAGATCAACATCTTGACGGCCAAGAATATTAGCACCACTAGTGCAAGTACTAGTGGTGACAAACGGGAAGGCCAAAAGGAAAAGGAAAAGTAAAGAAAACTGAAGTGGGAGGGAGCAATCCGAAAAATCTCGGATCAAACTCCCTCAAGAAAATAGAGTCAAATAAGACCCCATGTGAAAAATAACCCTCCGGGAGAAAATCGGAGTAGGAGGGACCATTGTGGGAGAAATGTAGGAGTAAAAGGAGGCTTCCATGGGCATGGGAAGGCCATTATTCCAGTCCGAGAAATAACGGACTGCACCTTGGGCATAGGGAGGGCCAAAACTAAGAGGAAGAGGCTAGAAAAGGGCCTTAACGGCCACTTGACACTTCATGCTAGAAAAAAAAAGAGAAAAGAAAAGAAAATGGGGGAGAATAAAACAAAAAGAGTGAGAGGGAGTGAGTGAGTTGGCCGTCAGTAGGGACTGCCATAGGTAGGGACTGGCGGGTCCCTACTGTCCAAGAAAAGAGGAGAAAAGAAAAGAAAAGAAAAGAGAAAAAGGCCTTAACTGTAAAAAACGGTCACTTGGGGAAATTCATCCGTGACGAAATTCATTCTGGAATATGGCGGTTACGAAGGACTTTGATTTTCTTTGATTTTTGCAGAGAAAATCAAAGAAAATCAAGGCCTCTTGCAACCGGAATAAAACGGAATACA